CGTGTGGGTGTGTGCGTGATCGCTTGTTCAGCTCTGGATCGCAGGATCACGGCTAGAGGCACAGCAGTGCAACTGGAGAGCTGGGGTTTGTGGGTTTTTTTGGTTTTGTTTGGTTTTCCCTGTGCCCTCCACGACAGGGTTGTTCCTAAATACCTGTTAGTGGGAGGGGTGACCCCGACGGAGCTGGGTGCGGGCGATGTGTGGGTGTGTGGCAGGAAACTTGCCCCATGTGTTACGCCCGGAGGCTGGCTGGGCGGGGGGGGGCGGGCGGGGGTGGCCGGCAGCGAGCGGTAGCTCTGTGCCCGGGTGAGACCAAACTAAGGCATTTCTTAACCGACCAGGACGGGCTACCCGATCCTGGAAATCGGCGGCAGAAATCAGCACTGTGTGACGCTGGGGCTGCTCCTGTGCGGAGCACAGCGAGGTCCCAGACCTGACCCTGCTCTTGGGAGCCGCGCCGTGGTTGGCGCTGCTCTGCTCACCTTGCGGCACTGATCCTTCGCCGCCGGCGCGGCGCTGGCCTTGGGGAATTTTGGAGGTTTGAGGAGAGGCTGGCTGATGGCTCCTGTGGCCTGTCGCCTCAGTGGGCCATTTGTAAGAAGTTTTGTCTCTGCTTGATCCAAAAATCAGGAGGTGGCATGCAGCTGTGGACTGATGCCGCAGAGAGGGATTGGCACCAGCAGGGATATGCCTACGGATACTGGCAGATTGTCTGCTGTGTGTGCCTGTTTACTGTATTCATGCTTTCAATTGCAGAAGACAACGACTCGGGACTTCAGTTCTCCAAAGTTCTCACTGAACGCCTGTCACTTCCAGTTCCTGTCAGCTGCAGGTGTCTTAGGAGGCAGGTCCAGGAGTTCTTCGAACAACCTGTAGTGCATGGGAGGTGAAATCTAGCCTGGGGGCGAAACGAAGGGCTGTGATAAGGGCACGGAGCCATGGAGCAGACCTTGAGGGAGTGTGTGCTCAGCTCTTCTGGGAGTCTTGGAGGCTGGAGGCTTTTTGGACGGGAGCACTAAGAGAGTGACTGGTTTCATACGTGGGTACCAGGGTGAAATCTAATCAGTTGTTCATGTATGACAGAAGATTAAATGGTCTTTTGAGTACAAATTTCCATCATGTTCAGTGCCAGGATGTTGGAGAATGCTGTGCAGAAGGGCCAGCTGTTTGTTGTAAGCGTAGGGATCAGGAGTTGTTGGGACCCGTGAGTGTGAGGGTACAGTGGGAAGAGCTCCCCGGCACAGCCGCGCTGGTGCCACACAGGGCCAACACGCTTGTGGTAACCCCAGAGTGTCCCATCACCCCCGCCATTGTCTGGTGGTAAACACTGGTCACGCTGTAATACCCAGAGGGACCAGCTGCATCCACTGCAAGGATCCTGCCCCCCAGTGCCAGCCACCCCGGGCAAGCACCGCCAGCCCCAGACAAGTCAGCGCGTCTGTTCCCGGGTCTGACAGTGGGTGAGGAGCGGGTCCCCAGCGGGGGCCTGGCTGCAGCTCTGCCGCAGCACCAGCTCCCGGGAGCTGGGGCCAGCTGCTCGCCCAAGAGCCCTGGCAGGTGGGCTGGGCAGCACTTCTCCCTGCTCCTTTCCTGTTCTCTCTCCTCTGGGCATTGCTGATAGTCCGCTGTCGTCTTCCCTTCTGGCAGAGACATGCGAAATTTCACTGTCCGTGTCCAGTCTGTCTCCTTTGCCTTGTTCCCCAACAAAACATTCGTAACATTTATGGCTAAAAGTGTTAGTGGAGCCCAGGTGGCACCTCCGCTGTTCTGCTCTCACAGCCGTCACCAAGCTGGAACGGGATGTGGAGTCAGACCAGCACCTGTGGTAAAACGTGCTCCGTGAACCGTGTGATGCGCTGAGGTCTGTCTGTGCCCTCCGGGTGGCACAGCGGGCACAAATGGAATACGAGAGCTGTGATGCCAGTTAGCTCCAAGCTGAAAATGATGGATGAACGTCGCTTGTTTAGCGTGACCCGTGTGAGGAGCGGTGGGTGGACGTGGATCATAATTGAGGTGGAATTTCAGCACAGTGTGTGTGTGTGTGTTGTGTTCCTGATTTGTTTGGAAACTGTCTGCCAGGGCAGTAGGCGCAGTTCTTCTGCCCATTGTGAGTCGTGTGTGCCAGTGCAGAGCTCCAGGCGGGAATGTTGAACAGGACACAGGAATGGCCAAAAAATGATCGTTGGTCAAGGACTGTGCTTGCACAAAGAGCCTCTCACAGGCTGTCGCTGAAGGAGCTTGTCGAGGCTTCAGAGAGCGCAAGGTGGTGTTTGCCACCGGGTGACCCTTAGGGCACCGTGCCCTGCGGAACACCAGGAGTTACTGAGCGTGTTACTGGCTTTTACTGAGGATTTAATGGGTGGTGGCACCACCTTTCCCCAGCCGTCAGTGTGCAGCTGGGTGTTTCCTGGTTAGTTGTGGCCAGCGAGCCAAACCACACGCGTGTTGTTAATCCATTGTCTGTTCCCTGGCTGGACACATCTTTGGAAACGAGCAAGCAGGAGATCAGCTGAGCCAGGTGTCTCGTTCCACTCCTCCGAGGCAGAGGAGACTGATCCGATGGAGTTAGAAGCGGTGAGCTCCGGACTGCAGCAGAGGCTG